GGGGGTTCCCTTCCAGCTTCCCATGTGTTGACCATCTTACAAAAAGTGAGCAGGAAGTAGGAGGCAATGGAAGAAGATGATGAGGAGAGGAGGAGCGAAGAGGAGAGCCACGAGTTGGGAGGAGGAAGTACAAGGACGAAGAAGTCGAGGGGGAGGATGAAGTAGAAGGGGAGAAAGTAGAAGGGGAGGATGAAGCAAAGAAAAGGAGGAAAGGAGGCAGGTTCAGGTGGTGTGGGAGGAGGAAGATGAGCAGGGTAATTGCGTGCGAGTTGTGCCTACCAAGTTGCCTTGGGAGCGAAAGGCAGCAGATTCCAAGAAAGGTTTAGGGCGACTGACAAGGAGGATGAGGATGAGACAAGCAAGCAGAAGAGTAAGTCACGAAGGGAGAATGAGAGAAGGGAGGAAGCAGCAGGGTCGAGAAAGACGGAAGGGAGAGGAGGAGGGAGGGAGAGGCGAGAAAGGATACAGGTAAGAAGCTGGAGCGAGAAGGGGAGGAGGAAGGAGGGTGAGGGGATGGAAAGTTGAAGAAAACAGTGCAGGGCATAGTATTAACGCTTCTTACTTGTTCTCGATGCGAGACAGTTTCAAGGGAGGAACAAAGGGACGAGCCGGGTTCGGAGGCTGTACAGAATCTGATGTGAAGTCGATTAAGAAGATTTAAGTCAAGGAAGCATCGAGATCATAGAATGAATGAAGATGAAGGCAAGAAAGAGGAGCATGCACAGGACAAGCTATAGAGTGTGCGATGATGAACTTCGACTGAATGTGATGCAATGAGATAAATATTGTTCACCTTCCAAATCTTGCCCCGTCGGCTGTGTAGGCATGATAGCACTTTCGTGTCGAGGAAGCCTTTGGGCATGTCATGATAACATGTCGCACATTTACCGGTCACCATCATCACCTGGTGCCATTCGATGACGATGGTGAGATGTCGTTGGGAAGTTTTCGCTGCGTTTTCACCCATGTAAGCGCGAGGAGAATAGCTATTAGCTGAACTTTACGTTGTTCGACATGTCAAAAGACCCCGTTCTTCTCCACACAAGAGAAGGATCAGCGTTGTTGGTCGGAGAATCAGATTCTTGATTGAACTGGTCATCAAATCTCGAAGCATCGTACATCATCTGCCAAGATCGCGATCAGCGACAGGCATAGCATAACAAGGCAAAAGAACCATCTCATCTCGAATCAGTTGCTTCAGATTTCGGAACTGTTGAAGGTTCTCATTGTTGGAAGGATCAATTTCTTCTTCGAGAGGTGTCTTCTCTGACGCTTTCTCCTGGTTCTGAGAGGAATGAATCACCTCCTGCTGTGCGGGAGGTCGAGACACATACCTGTGATCTTTTCTCTGCTGCTTGTCTCAGGAGCAGAAAGATGAGAACTACGATGATCGAGATGAAGATCTGAGCAAACCACTTCACTGATATGACTTTGCCCAGAACGAGATGTTACCGAGCTGAACAGCATAAACTTTGCTTCCAGAGCGCTTGTTTCAGCAAGCACCCTCTCTCGTACCAACCTGATTATATTTCAACACATCTGTGAGCAGAGCGCATCCAACAAGAGCATCACCTCTCAATATCTACATCCATCCTTGCTAGTTTGCTTTCTTGATTTAAACAGATATTCGTGTCGATGTTGATTTTGCTCGAAAGCAATGCTTGGTACGAAGCGTTCACCACAACTGCATGTATGTAATCTCAAGTTTGATGCTTCACATATCCAGTAGAGTTCATGTCAGGAGATTTCATGTAGACTTCGCCATTGTTGATAGCCAGCCTGTCGCCATCTGCAACAAAGGATTGATCAACCACGTTGCACTGCCAGTAGTGTCCTAAAACACTGCGCACTAAACCCAATGCTGACACTCTGTCAACAGCCAAGCTACATCCATCTGTTCTATCCACACATTTCCTTGTGCTCTTCATTCATCTGGCATCTTGTCATCACTTGATACTCTAATTCTTCACCATGCCACAAGAACCTTCGCTCGATCTCCCTGCATTCCCTTCTATTCCTCCCCGCACTCCATGGCTAACCTACCCCCACCCGGTATCCCGCCGGGAACAACAGTCGGTCCACCCCTTACAAAATATGTACCCCACCCTCTTTACCCAAGATTTATCTATCTCTTTGTACCCTGTGTCACATGCTTTCAACATACCCCACCCTTCATGACTACCCCACCCTATCTTTCTGACGACATGACATTTATAAATTGCGATTTATTATGATTCTTTAGGTCCCTACCACCCCTTTCCCTCAAAATTACTACCCCACCCCTACTTCCCCATATGTTAAGGACTTTGCCCTGTAACCCTCTTTTTTCCTATCATACTGACCCGTCATTGAGAAATTTAAATATATTTTGAGGACCCTGACCCATAGTCCATATACCCCCACCCTACCGCGTGAACAGAAAATAAACCCAACTTTCACCTTCGGCATTGTGAATCTTTTTGTACCACCCGACACCCACCCCCAAATTTGATATACCCCTAAATTATTCACCCCCACCCCCTATTTTACACGAAGTATCATAAGAGGACCCCCTTTTAAATAACCACAATTCTCTGGTACCCCTCCTTTGAATTCACCACCCTTCAGTACTCACCCCCACCTCGTTTCACGTATGGGATATCCTTTCTTTATCTCTGTGACATGGCTCTACCCCACATTAACCAGGAAATTAGGGGGTAGGGTGGTCTAAGACCGCGGGTCCCCGGAGTTCTGCCTAGGAGAAAGGGGTTGAAAGGAAGGCCAGTCTGAGATATGAAAAGTACCCCCACCCTAATTCTGCAAGTAGAAAGTACCCCCCCTTGAACTGAAGAAGTCAATCCGATGACAGGCAGGCCGCTGCGGCGCGGCCCGTACTGACCGTGACCCGGGCCGGCGCGGCCCGGGCCGCCGCCGGTCCGGGCCGGTCCGGGCCACGGCCACTTGAACTGAGAGTGAAGATTTAGTTAAATCAGACTGCCCTGAGGCCGCAGGACGTGTAGGAGATGTAGGGGAGGCAAGCAAGGGAGGTGGGTGCAGGAGAGGGAGGGGGCAGAGGGCGTTGGGAAGGAATGAGCAAGAGGAAGTGAACTCATGGATGTGAACAGATGAGGGCGAGGGGAGAGGAGGAGTGTTTGTGTGTGTGAGGGAGCGATTGGAGCAGATGACTGAACGATCTTGTGTGGTTACTGTGCTGTTATGCTGACTTGCTGCATACTCTAGGTCCTTTCACTTGCACTTGTCATCGCAGGAACATAACAACAGATGGCATCTTTCCTCTGCATGATTACTTGATGAGGTTGTGCAATAAGCAGCTTTCTTGAATGTTGTCTCAACAATTCATTGTGCCCGTCTCTGCGTTGCTCTCAGTCCTATCTGATGAATGTCGGTGGTCTACCTGCTTTCTCTCGACGCTGGTGCCCTTGGCAACTCTCCAGCAAGCATCAAACTCTCAGAATCCAGAAGATTCTCTGAGGTTCCTCCTGATCCTAGTCCTGGCCCTCTTCGTCGCAACGTTCGTGCAGTCCATGGTTGGAGTGCGGCAGGTGGTGAAGAGAGGAGATGTTGAAGGCGTCATCAGCGACCTCTTCTCCCTCCTCTTCACTGGAGCTGCTTCAGGGCATGCGATCCTTGCACTGAATGATCTCGGTCAACAGAACCAGTCAGCAGTCTTGTTTTTGATACTCCTCGACGGTGCACTGTTGGCCCTTGTTGGACATTTCTTTCTGAGAGGGACATGGCTGGTTGCAGCAGGCGTGCTAGGCGTGCTGTCGTTCCTACAGTACAGCAAAGAAGAGATGTCAAGGGTGCAGGAGGTTGCTCCAGCACTTGTCTTGTCGTGTCTTACTGCTGCTCCGCTCTCCAAGATCTACAACGACAACTTCGGGTAAGCGGCTTCGCAGCCTCTCACTGTCTTATCTGGTTGGGTTGTACTGACATGTGCTTTCCGATGAAAAGAAGAAGGCAAACTTCGATATCAAGCACGATGGCACCTCTGCTCTTGTTCGGAAGGTGGATACTGTTTAGCTTCGTGTGTTTCTTCTACGCAAGCAGGGCATTTGCTTTCTTCTCTGCCGTACTTTAGCTCGGAGCAATTATAATAACAAACGTGACATTGCCTGACATGTCTAGTGGCTGGGGAAGAGAGAAGAGTAGGAAACGATGGCCAAAATGCAGTCGGAGGCAGATGCTGACAGAGGGAGGGGATCAGAGGATGCTGCAGGACTGAAAGGATGTGATGAAGTTGAAGTTTGCTACTTGTGCTTTATACACGTCTTGGACCTCCAAGACAACAAGAGTTACGTGGCACCCCATCAAGAAAATTCGATTCATTCAACAGACATCCTCCGCCTCAGGCACGACCGGCATCTTCACATTGGAATCGATGTATGGAAGATTGAACTCCTGGACTGTGTCATTGCCCACGTATTGCACCTCTGTAAACTTGTCTTCACTGAAATTGGTCCTGTCCCTCTTGTAGAGCATGAGATGAGAAAACTTGAGCATTCCGGGGTATCTCTCAAACCCAAAGTTGTTGATGAAACGCAAGGCCGGAAACCTGGCGCTTTCAATGATGTTGTCGTTCACTCTGTACTTTTTCTTGATCTCAGGGACGAGTTCCTCAATCTTCTTCAGCGACCCTTCTTCAGGAAGGACAAACGGAGACACTATGAGCATTCTTGCATCATCCAAACTGGTTATAAGTTGCTCATCAGTCGCGGTGGCATCAAGAAACTTGACCTGCATCAACACATCAGCATCGTCCTCAGTCAAGTCATCTCTCACCCTCACGCCAGCTTTGCTAGCCCCCAACTGTGCTACGATGTTCTCTGCACAATCATGCCCCCACAGAACAAGGGAGTGCCTCTGCTTGAAGCCGACCTCATGAATGCCTTCAGCAAACGCGTTCACTTGCTTGTCGAGTTCCTTGTAAGTGAAACTGCAGCCCTTTGATCAGTTCTCGTCACCGAAGAGGATCAACGTGCACAAGTGAGACAAGCCAGCCTGTTCAACAAAGCGATGCCGGGAGGCAAAACATGCCGATCCGCACAACATCGCAACAAAGAACTTCGATTTTCTGTCATCAAGGGAGCATGCAAATTCTTCTCGAGATCTTAAGCAGGATAAGAGAAATGCAGCAATAGAAAATGATACACACACATTTTCAATTTGCAGGATTGTTCAGCAACCGGAACATGTAAGGGGAATGTAACAAAAAGATCAATGATAATGGAATTCTCAGACTATCCTCTCTTAGCAGGCACACCGCAGGTTGCATACACGCAAAGACAACGTCTCTTCAACTTCTCTCCTCAGAGACCAAAAATCTCCCAGCAACGTCAAGCTCGACACAGCCAACTGCTCAGGCAGCAGTGGAGGAGGCTCAGGAGGGGTTACGAGTGGGCAAGGGAGGCTCACAAGACAGGGTCGGCATCTTCTGTCGCCATCTTGAGCGCGTCCATGTGGGGGAACTCAGCACTCTTCTTCACCAAGTCCTTGAGAGTTCGGGAACTCGCAACGAAGGCCATCGACCGACGGCCGAGGACGCGGCAGAGGCGCGGCATGGCGCTGGTGAGGGTGATAGGGGTGGGGGTGGTGATGGTAAGCTCTTTTGGACGGGTACGCATCAAATCATATGAATTGAGGGGGTGGGGGTGATACAGTCTGTATATGGAAACGGTGGGGTAGTGATAGTCAGGGGTTCGTTCATCTGGTGTACGGGTTCTTTTTATATATTTTTTCATGCATTACCCTGGTAGGGTACTCAAAAGTACAACCCTTTGTGAAACGATGGTCCATAAGGTCTCGTAATGGGGGTGGGGGTACACATTACAGGGGTAGGTACACAAATGACCCCACCGTCCTGGTGGAGCAGACATTCCTCGCACCCTACCCCCATGGAGAAATATGGAGTTTACCCCACCCCCTATTTCCCCATACCAATGGTCCCCACCCCCCATTGTGAGGGCAAAATTGTTATTCATAACCCTACCCTTTCTGTATTCATAGTACCCTCACTGTTTGATAACCCTACCCGTATGTTTTTCAACTACCCCCAAGCTCTACCCCCTTCAATCCCCTTCCAAGATCCCCGACCGAAGGTATGAAGAGTCGAGATATGGCGTGCCTGGTTGCGGCAAGATGGCAAGGAGGGGATGCGATGAGGGAGAGAGGAGGAAGACAGGAAGGGAGGAAGGGAGGTCAGAGGAAAGGCGGGAAAATGGGTCGAGATTGCGGTAACCAAGTGAAGTGATGCCAGAAATATTTTCAGAGAGAGAGAGTGAGAGAGTATAACGTGTGCGACGAGTCTGTTGACGGAGAGAGATTTATCATTATCGAGGGTGAAAGTCATGTTTGTTTCCCCAGAGTGGAGCCCCTCATACTGCTTCTTTGAGGACCTCTCTCGTCCTTGATTGGTGGTGTGGTTCAGGAATGGGGGGGAACGCGTCGGTCCCACAAGTGCGAGCGAAAGATGTCAAACGTGCATCGGATATCAAGCATGGCTGGCTGTGCAAGCGCGGTCTTACCAACACTCAACTTCAGCGACGGTCAGAATGATAACTCAAGCTGTTTGCTCTTCCTCGTCATGGGTGGACTGACTCTGCGGCAGTTGGTGTGCCATACACGATCTGAGGCTCTACTACTTTGAGAACCCTCGAGTGAGAGCAGCTCGAGCTCAAGGAGCATGTTGACGCTGATGTCAATGTTCAGAGTGAAGAGCCCAAGGGTGTTGTGAACTTGCGGGGAGCGATTGTCTCCGAGAGCAAAACCATCAAGCTTGCAATAGAAATACAAACAGGTCAACACGTGATAGTGCGTCTTGCTAGCTTTCTGAGAGCCTTGCAGGTGCCTTGATTGCGGACAAAGGGGTTGAAAAGCGTACCTACGTCTTCACAACAGTTGGCTCAGGTTGGGTTAGGAGACCTCCATGACATGACATACTGATGCTCGGAACAGACGATAAGAAGATGAAGGGCGGGGAGGGAATGAGCAAAGACGGTGTGCTCACTGTTCGTGAAAGACATGGTTGTTCTGACGGGGAAACTAGAGCGGTTGAGACAGCAGCGCAAATATGATAGGGAAAACCTTGAGAAGTGGCTGGTGAACTAAGAAAGTGTTGTTTGTCAGCCATTGACATGTTTTTTTACAGAAATGGTTACAAGAAGAGACGGCCAAGACTTTCGCGCCGTCGTAGTTGAGATAGATAGTCGTCACTCCCTGCCTCTCAGTCGGAGCCTCACTGGAATCGTGCGATGCGGCTGATGGAGATGGGATGGCCTAGAGGGATTTTTGTCGTGTCAGCTCCTTGCGAGGAATGTTGGCTTGTAACATAAGCTACCGCAGTACGTGCAGGACCCGAAGAGCGTGTTGAAGGCTTGACGGCTGGTGGGGATGGCCTGCACCAGATGTCAGCTGATGCCGAGCTGAGCTCATGGCGCCGAACCCGCAGCCACTCGTAGAGGCAGGCGGCATGAAAGGGACGCGCGCCTGTAGCCAAGGCAAGAGTCAACTGTCAACCCTTAGATGCACCTGGTGGGTTACATTTGGAGTTGTCACAGACGATGTCGGGAATCTCTCCATCGAGCCGATACCTGCACGTATGACTTGAGCGAGGGAACATGTAACAAGCAACATCCACGTGTAGCAGATTGCACACTCGACGCTCAGCTCCTCCGCAACCACCGTCTGTTTGTTTGCCATCAGAGCCATTCAGGCAACGGACGTCTTGATGGTGGCTGACCTGCTTGGTGGGGAACTCGATCTCTAAGATGTTCTGCAAGTTTTGCAGCACGAATACTTTCATGTCCCAAAGCAGAAGCCTCTGATGATACGTGATCAGACGGAGGCGGGCACAGAAGTCAGGAAAAAAGTGGTTGAAAGGTGAGAGAGAGAGCGAGAGAGAGAAGGAAAGAGAGAGGGAGTGGGAGACGAAGAGTGAGCGAGTGAGAGGGAGGGAGGAAGTCTTGGAACAGAGGAAGTCAAGGGAGGATTTGAAAGGAGCTGCGAGGGAAGGACCTGGTTGAGTTTGTCTTTGAGTGGTAGGATGACCTAGATATCAAGCATGAGGAGACAAAACAAGCAGCTTGTGACATCTCACCGAATCAGCTCCGAGAAATCGAACTTCAGGCACACTCAAAGGATTCAAGATGGGTATGTCAACCTGCAACCATCAAGATAAGAGGTTAGCGCAGCTGATGACACTGTCGCACTTGTATCGAACAATGGTTCCCTATCGCGATTCTCCGAGACGCCAGGTCCCTTGTGGCAACACCTGAGCTGTATGATCACTCGACTCATGTCGCAATGGGAAGATGTTGTACTTGGCTCTAGTACCCAAGAGTGCTGATCAATATCGTCCAGCACATCCCATAGCAGCTGAAATTGATGTAGATGCTCCTGTAGAGACCAATATCACTCAGAAAAGCCCTGAGTTATCTGATCTCGCTCTTGTTCACCTCAAACTGTTCGATGACATTCCTCAAGGTATACCCGTCCCTCCACCTGGCCATTCAACACTCTCAGCCCACAATCTTTGTAATCTACTGATGCAGCAGGACGGTTGCCCGATCTTTTGACTTGCAACACAGCCAACACCTACCTTAGGATGAAAGGAATCGGTGTTGCCCCTCGGCATACTGGAGGGTCGTGTGGGTAGGACATGTTGAGGTCCACCTCGACGACATGTGATCTCTTCGCCGCATCCTCCACGGCAAACTTGACATTGTTAAAATCAGGATGCAAATCATGCACGCTGTTCCATCCTATCTCCTCAATCTCGGCCACAATCGCCATCATCGTATCAGCACGGGGCGGAACTCTCGAAGTCATGTTGCTGGCGACTCTCTCGAGAATAATTTCCAGCTCCTCCACGAAGCTCTCAACGGATTGACTCGATTTCAGTCTGTTGTTCACTGCGTTCATTTCCGCCCCTAGCACCTCGATCAAACCGTTCTCCATCTCTAGATGGAGTTTTCTTGACCCTGCTGTCTCTGATCTTGCCCTTGCAGTTTGCATCCTCCTCTCTGATATCCGAACGCGATAGCTCTCATCTTGCATGTTCGCGAAGCCACATTGCGCTGTACCTTCGAGGTCTTCAGGCACGAGCAGAAGGATTCCAGGCCTCCTGTTGGACCTGTTGAAATCAAGTCAAATAGAAGTATTTTGGCTGACGTTCTCCATGCTCTGATCTCTATCTTTATCTCGATCCTCAGAAATCTGCTCCCCTTTCCTCCTCCTTCCCGCTCCTCCCCGCTCCTCCTTCCAGCTTCCCCCCCCCCCCCCCCCCTTCTCCTCCTCCTTATCGTCGTCGTCGTCGTCGTCGTCGTCGTCGTCGTCGTCATCATCATCATCATCATCATCATCATCATCATCATCATCGTCGTCGTCGTCGTCGTCATCGTCGTCGTCATCATCACCACCAGCAGCAGCGCTTCCGCCATACCTCATGTTTGCTTGACCAGCCCACATCTCCTCTATGACCCGATTTGCCCTCATCCCCGTCCACGCCCACCTTCTTTCCACTTGCTATGCCAACCCCCTACGGTTTTGGGCCTAGCAGGGGGCTAGTCTGAGTCTGAGGGGGCAACCCGGATAGGAAATGGGGGGTACTTTTGTGGTCACTAGGTGGGTAGGGGTTATTGTAGGGGGCTATTCGTAGTCTAATAGGGGGTTCGAGGAATGTTGACACCGGTGTAGAAAAATCATGAGGAGAAAATAGGGTAGGGTGATATTAATTTATAGTTTAAGGTGGGTATTATATGCTGAAAAGGTAGGGTGAATTGTAATATATGTGGGGTGATCTGTACAGTGGGTGGTACTTCATACGACCAAGGGGTGGGATTGAGAAGTTCATTGATGGGTGGGGTGGTAGCGAGCGCGAGAATGCAGGTAAAGCGTGCGCGGGAGGAAGGAGGGAAAAAGGGGGAGAAGAGAAGAGAAGAGAGGGAGGAGGAGAGGAGAAGGGAATGTGCAAACGAAGCCAGGAAGTGTTATTGGTGGTCAGGCATACCGATTGCATGATCACTTTGTCAAACTTCCTAGAGTTGGAACTCCTCGTGCGGTCCTCCTGCCCCATAGCTTGATCGCAGTGTAAAGTTCTGACATGCTCGCTTGACATCATGCAAGTAAGCGTTATCGACACATGCACATACACGTGCTTGCTGTTTTTTCAAGCTTACGAGATTCTGTGGGACATCGCATAACATGCCGCACGTTAATCGGCAGCATGTCTTTTCATGCCCACTACAATGCAATCATTACGTGCTCTGGTTTTCGGCTCACCACTACCTCTGCAGGCTCTCCTGGCCATTAGATCGCAAGCGCCGCAAACTCTCGGCCCATTGCGAGGCTTCTGTCGTTGTCCTCAAGAGTAGTACTGAGAGGAGGGTAAGGAGAAGAAATCGAGGGAGGAAGAGACCTCAGGTTGCGCTCGAGCACAGCTCGTGCTGCATCCGTCGATGGAGTTCCAACTGTGAAGCATCAGCTAGGGAGGAGAGGAGGAGAGGAGAGGAGAGGAGAGGAGAGGAGAGGAGAGGGGAGGGGAATGGGGAGAGGAGAGTAGTGTAGACTTCACCAGCGAAGCAGATCTGCGCGCCGCAGGAAACATGCGTAATGGAGAGGTCCATGGGCATGCTGACTCGACGTGGTTTGGACTGGAAGGAGGAGGGAGTTCAGGGAGAGCATGCGGGTCAAGATATCTTACCGAGAACAACAGCTGGTCTGTGTCCGCTGCTCGCGCCTGTGAAGCATTGGAACGATTGCACAGGTTGAGGTGTCATGTTTGTACGTGATATCCAAGTTGTCCAGATGTCGCTAGTCCCCAGGTGTAGAGTTTCCCATCATCTGTGATGTATGTTCAGGAAATGTTTATGTATGTTCAGGAAATGTTTTTGTATGTTCAGGAAATGTTTATGTATGTTCAGGAAATGTTTTTGTATGTACAAGGTGTTGTTATTAAAATGAAATTCATCAAGTTTGTACCTGTAATGGCGCAAGAAAAACTCTCTCCCGCAGCAACCGTAGCCACATCTGCATCTTATAGAGATGTCATTGCTGAATTATCGTGCAAGCATGAAGAAGAACCAATGAAAACTTTTGTTGGAGCCTTGAGATGTTTTAGCTTGTCTTGCTGTTCCAACAGCTCCCCTGAAAGGACATTGTAAACGCTCTCAACTGATAATTGTTTGTACCAGTCCGCTCTGAAACATGTCGATAAAACTCGTCGTCGTCATCATCATCGTAAAATCGTTCATCTCGATTTCGAACGTCCTTGTCTTTATCATCCACAACAACAAGGTTGTCTTCGTTCCCGACGTTTTCTCCCCACCAATACAAGAAAGAAGTGCATCCCGCTTGTTTGTTCCCATCTCCTTGCTCCAAGTCTACATCATTGTCTGTGCCTGCTCCTTCATTCTCATCATCGCGATCTTTTGTGATGATGGTATTATGCCGCACTCCTGCTGCCGCATCCACAACCCTATCAAAGTTGAATGAGAAGGAAGCAAGAAAAATCCGCTGAAAGTTCACAGCAGAAACAATCAGTCTCAATAGAAGCCTTGCCTTTCTGACGGTGAAATTTCCAGCCGAAACGGGACATGCAAGAATTCTCCTTTGGGCTGGATGATGGGAATTAAAGATAATTGAGAAGTTAGAACAGAACGAGTGAGTTGCTGTTGTTGACAGCCATGCAGCATCTGTCAATTACCTCCTGTAGGTTGTAAGATTTCCAATCAACATCAGCGATGAAGTCGCCATCCACCTGAGAAGCAAAGAGTTTACAACGTGAATGATGCACAAATCTAACGCGATCACAGTGACAAACCAGGAAGATCAGTAGTTCAAGTACAACTTGGATCGGTCAAGAGAGGGAAAGTAGACAGACAAATAGAAGATAAGATAGTCCTCATTTCACCTTAGCCGATATCAGTCCGAGCCTCCCTCCCTCCATACATCCCCACACGTAAAGAAAACCTGAATCAAAGAAGTAATGAAATGAATGTCAACAATGACATGAAACAGAAATGAGAAAAGACAACGAGCAAAGCTTCGATTAGCAAATATGAAACGCTGAACATTTGCAACACGAAAGAGGACAAAATGTTGAAGAGAACAAAATTCTTGAGCAGAGCCCTTCCTGCTCCTGCTCCTGCCCCTCCATATCATCATCATCGTACTTATCATCATCAACATCGGCATCGGCATCACTATCACAACCACACTATCGGTATCATCTCAAACATCACTCTCTCAACATCTTCGAGCATCTCTCTTCACCTTCGACTGTCATCGCCATCGAATGTGCTTCCCCGCACGCAACATGTGTTGCTTCACAGCTAAGCCCTAGTTCCTCGCTCCTCGTGCTGTTCATCGTCCTCCAAACTTGCGTCGGGCGCGACACCATAGCTTCATTCCCATGCCCGAGTCGACCTGAATCGCCTGATCCCCAGGTGTACACAAACCCATTGTCTGCTAACATCACTGCAAGAAGAATGTCAATGTGAAAC